TCCCCATGGAAGCCTCGGAAGAGAAATACTGTTCTTATCCCATTTCTCAGATGAGAGCGCTACGGCTCAGGGAAATCAAGACACTTGCCAGAGGAGTGAGAACCCATGGATGACCACAATACAGCCTGTTGGTACAGTGGCCCTGAGGGACCTCGCACCTCAGAGCCTTTGCACTTACTGGTCTCTGCCTGGGGCTCTCAGCCTCAGGCTCTTCTTGTGGTCAGCTCCTCTCACAGTTAGATCAGCTCAGACATACCGTCTCAGAATGGCCATTACAAACCACCTCCATTTGCATGCAGAGATGGCCGTTGGGATAGAGACCCAGATAGGAGTGGCTAAAACAATATCAAAATTGTTTCTTCTCCCTTCTCAGTAAGGAGAAGTCTCTCCTTGAAATGTGATGTATGCATCTGTGGCTCGTGTGGCCTCAGCAGGGTGGGAGGGCACAGCAGTCGTAGCTCGGGTTCTGCCCCAGCTCTGCCTGAGTTCAAATCACTTTGCCACCCCTCAGCAGACACCAAATGGACCTTGCAGGAGGATCCTAGTCTCTCTGAGTCCCCATTTCCTCTGAGCCCCCATTTCCTCATCTGAAAATAAGTTGTCATAACATACTTATCTCATAAGGGTCTCCGAAGTGAATATATGCAAAGGGTCTAAAGCTGGGGTCAGCAAACCAAGGCCCACTGCCTGCTTCTCAACGGCCTCCAAGCTAAAAATGGTTTTTACATTTTCAAGTCACTGACAAATATCCAAAGAATAATACTATTTTATGGCATGTGAAAATGATATGATATTCAAATTTCAGGGTCCTTTAAGGCTGATTGGAGCACAGCCACGCCTGTTTGCTTCTGTTCGTCCCTGGCAGCCTTTGACTTACAGGGCAGAGTGCAGTGGTTGCAACAGATCATAGGGCACACAAAGTCTAAAATATTTACTGTCCGGCCCTTTACAGGAAGTTTGCTGACCCCCGATCTAGAGAACATTGCCTGGCACACAAGCCTCACTGTGTGTTAACTGTTCTTATTCAGGACCTTGGTGGGAACCAGACTGCGTTTATGCACCGAGTGTGGGCCGCCCACTGGGCTAGTGCCGTTATGTTTGTTATCTCCGTCACACTTCGAGGTGCATGTGACCCTCCCGTATTATAGGTGGGGAAACTGAGGCTCAAATAGGTGACAGCGCTTGCCCCAAATCACCAGCTGGGTAAGTGGCAGAGTTGAGATTCAAACTCAAGGTCTCCTGATTCCATATACTGCCCCCTTCCCCCTCACTCCTCCGCCACACGCACTACTGCCTGAGGTGGCTCTGGGAAAATACCAGCAGCTGTGTCTCTCTGGCCCAGTAGTGGAATCACCTTGAAGAGTTTGTTTAAAATGCAGATTTCTGGGGCCTACCACAGCCCTCCTAAATCAATTTCTTAGGGGAGGACCAGGAATCTATATTGCCAGCAAAATCTGCCCGGGGATTTCAGTATCGAAGAGGTGGTTATGGGAGGAAGAGGTCCCCGTGGACTATAGGCTGTCAAGGAGAGCTTCCTAAAGAAGCAGGGGCTGAGAAGTTGGACCAGTTCGGGGAAAGGAAAGGGCATTCCAGGCAGGGGAACCTGCCTGATCAAAGGTGGGGAGACAGGAACGAGGCCAGTATGTGCAGTGGGGTGTCATACCCAGGGACAGACTGCGTCCAAGCCAGCCAGGTTTCCAGGGTTGGGGTGATGGACGAGGTCTCCCATGAGCCCCGATGCTCCCAGGAGATAGGGCAGCTCTTGTACTCAAGGCCCAGAGCCTCTTTTGCCTCTGGGTTCTTAGAATAAATTGGAAGCTCCTCCCTCTGGCCTTCAAAACCCTGGGTAGTCTGGCTCCTGCCTGCCTCGCCATCATCCCATCATCACCTCCCACCTCTTTTCCTTGCTTCTTCTACACTGGCCTCCTTTCTGGCCCTCAAACACACCTCTTCCCAGCCTCAGGGCCTTTGCACTTGCACCCTCTATCTTGCTGTGCTCATCCTCAGATCTCAGCTTGGCAGGCATCCTCAGAGAAGCCTTTCATGACTGACTAGCTGCCTCCCTCCCACTGACACAATCTCCCCATCACCAGTTAACTCCCTCCCTGCCAGTTTTTCAACTGTTCGCTCCCCCTCTTCCCGAGGACAGTGACTCCCTGCCTCATTCCCTGCTCTGCCCCCAGAGCCCAGCACAGTGTGTGGCTCACAGAAAATACTCAGTATATGCTAAATGGGCAGAAAATGTGAAATACACCCAAGCCAGAGAAGGGCTGAGCCAAGCTTCTGGTTAGTGCCCAGGAGGCTGCTGGTTAAGAGTTTTGAATGAGAATTTTGTGTCTTGAAAGTGGGCAGAGAGGTGTGTTGGAAAGAGTTCTTAAATGAAAAGGCAGTTGAAGGAGACTTTTACCTCCTCTGCGTTCTAGAGAGGGGGTCACTCTGTCACCTTTTGGATTCTCCAGAGTACCCCCTGCCTCCACACACCCTGGAGCTAAGGGCCACCCCAGCCCCACTCATTGAACAAGCCCAGAACATGCCTTCCACATGCATATTCTCGTCAAATCCTCAGGACAACTCAGTGACTGAGGAAGTATCCCTGCCCCCATTTCCCAGATGGGAAAACTGACTCAGAGAGGTGGAGGGACTTGTCCTAGATCTGGGATGAAATCTGAACACTATAACCCAGTCTGATTCTAGAGCCTGTTTTCTCAGCCCCCGTGTTGTGCTGCCACCTCAGTCCCCACCATTCATGCCACTCCTCCATCCCACCCTAACGTGCCAATGTCAGGAAGTCCTTCTGAGATCTAACTCTGAGCTCTAAGGCAAAGCCTCAGCTCACCACCGAGGGAGAGGATTCAAAAACAGCTGTTCCTGTTTCCAACGGTAAGTTCAGGGCTCAGTTCTAACCCGAAAGGCATAGAGAGTGGTGAACAGAAAGGTCACAGAAAACCCGAACCCCAAAGGAGGTCAGTGCTCAGAATAAAGCTTCAGAGAATGGGCTGGAGGTCCAGGTGCCTGGGGTTGAATCCCAGCCCCCTCATTTGCTTCTCTGGACGATCTCAGTCAAGCCAGTGGCACTCTCTGTGTTTTTGTCTGCCTGTGTGGAAAAGAGGGGTCTGAACAGGCACGCATCTCTGTGCAGGGTGCTTTGAGGTTTCGACTAGAGAAATCACAGTATGGGCAGGAGAGGAAGTCCTGCTCCCAGGGAGCCCAGGCCCAGTGGGGAGAAAGCAGGGGAGCATGCTGGCAAAAGTCAGAGAACAATTCCAGGCTACAGTAGAAAGGCTGGTGGCTGATCACCAGGTAGGAAGACAATGGGATCCTTTGGAACTGTGCCAGGAACTAGGGTGGACCAGAAAAATGACTTGATGTTTAGGCAGGACATCCCGACATCAGCACCGTTGACATTTGGGGCAGGATAACTCTGTCGTGGGGGCTTGTCCTGTCCACTGTACAATGTTTAGCAGCATCCCTGACCTCTACCTGTTAGATGCCAGTAACAGGCTCCCACCCCACCCCATACCCAGTGTGACAACCAAAATTTATCCAGGGGGTTCATTGCCAAATGTCCCCTGGGAGATAATTGCCCCGGGTTGAGAACCAGTGCTTTTAGGTAGAATCTAAAATATTGGCATCCAATTTACAGTTTTTAGCTCTCATGCAAGCCTCAAACATTAGTGATCAGCACACCTCCTGGCATCAGGCAGGTAACAACCATCAACAGGTGGGATTCAGCCTGAGAGCCTCCAGTTTGAGACCTTTGTCCCAGAGGTCAGGCTGATCCTAGAGGTCATTAATATACAGATGGGGAGACTGAGGCCCAAAGAGGGGGAAAGACTTGGCCAGATCACACAGCAGGACAATGGCAGAGCTGGACCTAGAACTAGACTGTGTCCCCATCTATAACATAAGGGGTTCGACAGGATGGTCAGCAGCTAGCTGCCTAGCAAACTGCTCTCCCCGCAAGATTCAAGTGGTGCCTCCTGCAAGCAGGAAGTCTTCCCTCATCCCCCACCCCACTAAGATAGACTTGACTTCTACTAGGCCCCTCTTCCTTTGACCCATTTGCAATAATTTGTGTGTCTGTCCTTCTGCTACTAAACAGAAAGGAGGACTGGGTCTGGCTTTAGCAGACCCAGCGCCTGGCCCAGGACTGATCATATTTAGCCTTGCCATAAGATTTAAATGCATTCATTTTTGTTTACCTCCATATGAAATAAATGGCCCTTCACTCATTTCATCGGTGACCAAAACACCTGGGGCACCCTGCTAGATGCTGTAGTTCTGCAATGAGCGTAGCAGACTGGTCCCTGCCCTGGAGCTCCAGCACAGAGCCAGAGACAGGCGGTACAGCTGATCATATCATACAAATATCTACAATCATGTTGGCAGAGCCGGGAAGAGGGTGAGGGGAGTAAGGGCACAAGATTTAGATGTACCATTCATGCTCAGGGTCCTGCAAGTGCACACCTCACCCAGGGCCCAGCTCTGCATTTTGGTTCTGACAAGTTTTGCAAAGAAAAGGTGCAGATGCTCTGAAAGCAAAAGCAGAGAGAGGTGGCCAAATGAGAGGGGTAGGGGAGGGTCAAAGAAGGCACACCTGAGCAGGTGAGATGTATAAACACACACACACACTTCCAGGGTAATGGTTCTCCACATCCAAACCCCAAGGCCCTTTTATAGGCAGCAAGTATCTCATTAACTCCTCTCACCACCTACTGCCCTAAAATGAAATTCATAGATAATATACCTTACCTATATACAGAACTTCCCCCAAATTAACATAATGCCCCAACTTCAATAGAAAGGAGCATTACAAGCAAGCAATTTACATGAAATGCCTGATCACAACAAAGCCACCAGTAAACACCGTGAACGTGCCAGGTGCTCACACTGTACGTAGAAGCACCATCAGTGCGACAGTGACAAAAACAGAGAGCTACAGGTGTGTTGGCAACCCAGCGACCACGCACGACAGCATTGCCAGCAGCTACAAGACTTACCTGATGAGGTGAGTAAGTCTTGGTAAAGTTCTGAACAGAAGAAAGTAGAGTTTTTCCCCTGCTTTATCCAGTGGTTGCATTTCTGGAAAATTCGGTATATTAAAACCTTGACAGAAGATATTTGGTGTGTTTACATGTAAAGTGCAATCAGAGTCTAGGTTCAGGAATTAAGCAGCACTGTCTCATGCCTCACTGGTCACCTGGCATGCCAGCCTCGGCCCACTCAGTCCCTGAGGTGTCTGTCCTCCCCCAACCCTGGGACATCCTCACAGATTTCCAGGACATGCCCTGTGGGCAGCACACCCCCACGGAGAATCACTGGCTCCAACCTCCAGCTGACAGCCAGCTCTGTTATCTGTTGTCCCCTCCAGTCTCAACCTAATGGTTTGTTTATTTACACTGCCATCCTCAGTGTTTTTGCACACTTAGAGTGGCTTGTCGTTTTCTCCAACTTGTGCACATCGTTGGTAATTATCCCTGGAAGTGAAGGAGGCAAAACCAGAACAAATTATCTCCTGACCAGGCTGAGCCAGCCTTGCAACTCGCCCTGCTGAAGGTTCCCAAGGAAGTCAGCAGCCCCTGGCTGAGTCCACTATGAATTCTCAGCCAGCTAATGGACATTAACCAGCTCCCATGTGTGATCACAGCCAGAAACAGGCACCTTATGAGGCCTAGAACCCCTGCCAATTATTTCTTAGAACCAGAACCAGAATGAGCTCTTCTATGTGCCAGAAACTTGTAGCAAGAACAGAGTTTCTTACCCAAGAATCTAATTCATGACAACTGAGTTTTTCTCTCCTGGAAGGGAAGGGAGACAGAGAAACAGTCTTTATTTACTCCTTCACTCTCTCACCTTTTCCTAACCACCCCCCCACCACCACCACATTAGACAAGTACGTCCTGCCTCTAAGAGGTGAAATAAAGTACATCACTTCTTTCCTTTTGAATTTCTGGGTTTCCAATCCTCACCATTTAAAGGTAGGATTTTCGAGACTAAATAATGAATATGATTTGGTTATCCTTGGAACCAAACCTGTGAGGGACATGAGCCTACTGTGTATTTCCACTGTTCCTTACCGCCTGCAGGGTGGGTCTCATCCACCTGTTGCAGTTGAGGAAACAAGCTCAGAGAGAGCTGTGACTTGCCCAAGGCAGCCCAGCAGGTCAGGGGCAGGGCTGGGCTTTGTCCCAGATCTGCGGTTCCCAGTGCTCACCCTTGTTACAGCCGCCCTGCTGCAAGGTCATTTTCCTTCTCTCAGGGTAGAAATAGCTGTTTACCCTATCTCTATGAACAGGTTTCCAAAGAGGCCTCCAGAATGTGTGTGATCAAGCCAATGAACTCAGAAATATAGCACTTATTACAGAACTTAGTATTAGCCAGCCACCCACCCGCCTGGCTCTAATTAAAGGCCTGTCTTCTGCTTTATAAATCACAGCTTTCCGGAGCCTGTAATTTAACCAGTTGCAATCAAGGCCTGGGGAGTGGAGGGTGGAAGACCGGCCTCCCCAACCCCATCTTCCTGAGGCCAGTGATAGAGAAGCAGGGTACCATTGGTATGGCCTTGGGCTCAAACTCTGGCTCTGCTCAGGGCCCAGACTAGAGTAAGAAATGTGAGGTGCTCACCTCTGGCACAAAAATCCTGAATCAGGGTGACTGATTTTTCCTTTCCTTTTAGATCAAATATGGCTGAATATGGCAGATCCTGTCTCTTTATGAGATTTAGATATTTTGTTCTTATGGCTTTTTTTGCATTAAGTTTGATTTTCTAAAATATTGCCTACCTTGATTACTGAGTTTTTGGGGGCTCCCTTAAATTTTGAACCCTTAAATTTTTTCACCCTGGTCTTGGCCCTGCTGTCATTTCATGTAACTTTTGTTGAGTCACCCCACTACCCCCCAACTCCTACCCCCAAGCTGCAATTTTCCCATCTATAAAGTGGAGATACTAGTAGTACCTTCCTCATAGGGCTGCTGCATCTAAAGTCTCTGGCATACAGCTGGCTCTCAAGAATGGCTACCATTGTTGGGGAAAGAGAAAACTGGGTGCACTGTTGGCACGGGGGCAGGATGGGACTTTGTGATGCAGGACTATTTGTACTTCACAGGGCATCTACCATCCCTGGTTCCCACCTACTCATCACCAATAGCAGAAATGACTGCCCCACCTCACTTTTCCAAAATGCCTCTCAGTGGGCAGTGCCACCACCACCTCCACCAGGCCTAGATCACACAGCCTTGGAGTCATACGGACCTGGGCTCAAATCCAAGTTGTCACTTGGCTGCGTGTCCTTAGGCATGTTCCTTAACCTCTCTGAGCCTCTTGCTTTCTTCTTTTGTAAAATGACAGTAGCAGTATCCCACAGGGGTGATTTGGGTGTTTGGGTATCCAACTTGTGGTAGCTGTTGCCATTCTGGTGTTGTTTGTATTCAAAGCACTAAGCTCTTCTTGAAGCTGGGCTCTCTGGAGGTCATTGGGCAGGAGAGAACCAGCTACCAGACCAGGTCATAAAGTGGGGAGAGGCAGATCCAGCCGTTAAGGTTAACGTGTTGTTTTGGAACTGCACTGCATTTACATATTTTAATTAATTGCCAGCATTAACTATTTGGAAGATTTCAAGGGGAAAAACTAGATTTTTTTGTTTCTCTTGAGAAGATGGAACATTAGGTTGCCTCTAAGCCACCTCTGTTCCCTCCTGGAGCTGGTGAGAGGTGGCCTTACACGCTCCTCAACCCTACTGTTTTAGGTCCAGCTGGCTTCAGTTGTTTGCAGTTCCTGCTTGGCCCCTTGTAGACGAAGGAGTTTTCAGCCCCTGGCTGACTATAAGAGGGAGGGACAGAGCCCTGCTCAGGAATCTGGAAGAAAGGGTTTAAAAGGAAGCCCAGGTTGGGAGTGGCTTGTCAGGGAAGATAAGAAGTGTCCTGTGAATTAAGAGCACCTCAAAAAGTGGTTGAGAGAATCAGGGGTTTTGTTGGTCAGTCTTGCAAGCTCCTTGCAAATTGCTGAGAGCTAGGAAAATGTTAATATTCTGGGAAGGAGGCTGGGAGGAAGCATAGCAGGAGCAAAAACCTGGAGGCTGGAACTGTCCTTCATTGCCCAAGGGGAGCAGACAGCGGCAGGGAGGCAGTCAGGTCAGGGACCCCTGATCCAGTCCTGGTTCTGCCACAGACTGGCCTGGTGACCTTGGTTAGTCACACCCCCCTCTGGCCTTTCCCAGCTTCCCAGGAAGGGTGAAAGGAAAGGGTTCCACCTGGAAGGGTCCTTCGGGCTCTGAAATTTTAGATCATCTCCTTCATTACACCCCATTAAACCAGTACACAGTCGGCGCTTAAGCAGTAATGTACTCTTTCTGTACACAGCTGCACAGAGCTGTGCAGCAATTTGGCCCTGCCCAGGGTTTAGGAACAGCTGGACAAAGTGGCTGTTTATAGTGTCTGCCTGGTCTGTGGGCTGGACTCTAGGGAAGATTCCAAACACAGGCTAGAAAAAAGTGACCCAAGAGCTGTGTGTGCCTGGGGGAGAGCTGGGGACCTTTGAAGGGCTCAGGGTCCTGGTCCTGAGCAGCCACTGGCTTGAATCAAATGTGATCTCTCTTAGGAGAGGATCAAGTGGTGGTCATTTTACCCATGGCAGCTGACACAGGCCCTGACGTGCTTGAGGGATGAATAAATAATTGATTAAAAGAAAGATGGAAACAAAGACAAATACAGGAAACGATGGACAGGTGAGAGATGATTAAAGGATGTTGGTTGCTAGACACGTGGATGGAAGATGGATGGATTAAAAATGGAGAATGAGTGGAAGGGGGAGAGAATGAAGGGAAGAAGTGAGGGAGGGAGGAGAGAGAAGGAAAATAGAAGGGGTGGGAGGTAGGTGGCCTGGTAGGTCCTGGGTGGATTGATGGGTGTGTGGATACAAGAATGGAGGGTAATGGAGGGAAGAAAATGGATGGATGTTAGATGGATGATGGAAGTGGGTGGATAGATGAAAGGATGGAAGGGCAGAGACCTAGGGCTGCCTCTGAGAAAAGCCATCCATTAATAAGCACATACTGAGTGTTCACTGTGTGCCCAGCCCCCTGCCTGGCACTGTGCAGAAACAGAGAAGAAAAGTCGGTAAAAATCCCCTACCCTGCCCCACACACACACACATACACAAAGAATTCACTGTCTGGTTGGGGGAAAAGGTTCAGAGGCTGAGTCCATTGCCCAAGGCAGCTCAGGTAAGATGAAATCCATGGCAGTCTTTCAGTTTGGCCTATGAACTAGCCTCCTGCACTGCAGTCTCAGAACCCTGAGTAGGAAAGAACAATCCTGGCCAGGCTTCCTGTGGGGCCTCTGAGGGGAGGCTCCTTGGAAGGGCCTGGAGTCACTGACTGGCAGCCTAGTGAGGGCAGGAACCCGGTCTGCGTTCACCACCGCATCCACATCTGGTGCAGCCCATTTTCACACCGAAGGCAGTCAGTGACATTTCTTCGCAAAATGAATGAGAAGGTGAGTGAGTGAATGAATGAATGACTGGGAGTCTGAGTAGCATTGCCTATGGCTCTACTCGGCAAGTTCTGTCAGCTGTGCACACCTCAGCTGCCCAGCCCCTACAGTGGAACTACCAGTAGCTAGCTTGGATTGTGAAAATGCGTTGTGAACTGGGAAGAGGTTTACAAATGGAGAATGTGACATCAATAGAGGTAATAGTAGTAGTACCAGCATCAATCATAGGAGCAATAGTGGCCCCAGCAGCTGTGTCCACAGTGGCAGTGATGGTGTTATTTATTATTGGCAGTGGTAATAGAAGCATTCATGGAAGTAGTAATTGCATTGGTAATGGCAACGATGGTTATATTCCTGGTGGTAGTCAGAATAATACTGTTTGGTAGCAGGAGAGAGAGTATTCCAGGAGGAGAAAAATGTTCTGAGTTCAGTTGCAGGTGACAGAAATCCGATTTAAATAGGCTTAAGCTAGAAAAGAAAGGAAGGGTTTTTTTTAGCTCATGCAACTTAAAAGTCCAGAAGTCCCTCTGGTTTCTAGGCTAGTTAGACAGACCCTCAAATGATATGGTCAGGATTTATCACTGCAGCTCAGTCTCTCTCCATCTTTTGTCTCTTCCTTCCCCTGGCGGACTCCACTGGAGGCAAGCTCTCTTGTTTTCCAGGCCTCCAATTGCCCAGCTAGACAATCCCCCTCAAAAGAGAACTCCTCCGCCTGAATAGTTACA